CTTAGAGGATCATGGGACTTAGTAATATAAGTAAGGTTATAAGTACCTGAATTGGGGTTATAAGTAATGAAAAGTAAAGTTATCTTATTTATAACCCCAGTTACTAAGTCCCATGGTCCTTTCAGTAGACCCTAAACCCGTCTAGAACCCTTTATGAGGAATCCTAAACCCTAAACCCTAACCCCTAAACTCTAAACCCTAAAGCACACCATTCTCTCGACGATCGGAGGATCAAATCCTTCATCGACTACGGGGCCGCCGTGCGCCCTGGCAGAATCTGAGGGGGCCCCCCTTCAGAGGTTCTGCAAATGTTCCTCGACCCTAAACCCTAAACCCATTCAGGGGTTCAGGGTTTAGGATTCAGGGCGTTAGGGTTTAGGGAGTCCAGCAGAGTTTTGTGATGTAGCGAGATCTGCCACAAGCCGTCATCCCCAACGGTCCTGAACACCTCGAGCCATGACGAAGCAACATCGACTCCGACAGCCTCAACCCCCAAATCCGTGTCCGAATGCCCTACACCCCTGAAGCCTTAACCCTAAACCCCAAACCCTAAACCCTAAACCCTAAACCCCAAACCCTAAACCCTAAACCCTAAACCCCTAAGCCTCAATGCCTAAAGTCTAAGCGCAAGGCTGGTGTTACTCAACTCAGTGGTTCTGCTCCTCGAGCAGCTTTGCGGCAAAGCTTAGCAATCCACGGAAACGGTTTAGGGTTTAGGGTTTAGGGCTTAAGGTTTAGGGTTTAGGGTTTAGGGTTTAGCGACGCTTCCCCGCGAGCATTTTGGGTTCGGTGCTATAGGACTTTGAGAGTACGGTTGATGAGATAAATCCTGCATTACCCATGATATACCCATGATCAAGGAATATACCATAGTTCCCATGGTTCAGGGTCCTTAAGGTAATGCAGGATTTATATCATCAACCGTATGAAACTCTGGTACAGGTTTCGTGTCGGGCCTCTGCACACCCCTGCAAAACAGGATCGCACGGGATAGTAACGTCAATGAGCCCTTACACATCTTACACCCTAAACCCCATAATTCCTAAACAAATCTCTAAACCCTAAAGCTCTAAACCATAAGCCTCCGAAACCCGGGTTGACGGTTTGAGGTCCTGGGTCGGGGACCAGGCTGTGTTGCTGTCTAATCGCATTTCGTTCTTGAAGCACATAGGGTTCAGTGTTTATAATAGGGGTCTACAGTTTACACACCTTAAGGTGATGCACTGTTCAGAGTTCAGCTTGGTCACCCCCGTGGAATCGGAATCTGCCTTTAAAGGTGGTTGCCATAGTTCAGAAGCACGTCCGAAGACTGCCCCGTGTTCTTGAAACAAGCAGCAGGGAACAATGCGCCTGACTCAGGCAGGACGTGCCTGGAGCCTGCTGACAACCACCTACTAAGCACGCGTTGATGTGATTCAGAAGACCCTAATATAGCGGCCTCAATAATTACCTATACTAATTTGGGGGTTCCTCGTTGTAACTATAGTATAATATACCCCCCCAAACCCCATTCGAATTATTAAGGCCCCTACATTAAACTAAACAACCCGAAAGAAGTCGTCAATCTTCACAGCCCCCTAAAGCATCCTAAACCCTAAACCCTAAACCCTAAAACCTAAACCTTAAAGCATCCCAGCTCCAGCTGCCAACCCCAAGCCGCCTGACAGGCTGGAGTTCGAGGGCAGCGCCATAGGTGGAGCCCTCGGGCTCATAGAAGGGCCAGCAACTGGGCCTTCATTACCGCTTACCCTATAGGGTTTATCGGGGTTTATGGGGGTTTATAGGGCCTTTGCAGCGCTCTTAGCCTCAACTCATATTTTAAGGCTTTTGGGCCGAAAGACCCTATTATGAAAGGCATTTTGGGCTATGTTGATGCTAAGGGTACTCATGCTGATTTCAAGAGTAGGATTATGTATCATGCGACGGTGGTGATTCCTGTTCCTGGCAATGGTGATGATGAGGATGATGACGTAGATGATGACGGCCAGAATGATGATGGCGACGACCACGGTGGCGATGCTGTTATCGCTGATGGTGATGCAGGGGTGCATGTGATGACGAAGGTGGTGCGTCAAGCATGCTGCTTGGACTGTTGGTATCGCTAGTAGTGCTGACACTGTACTTGCTACGGCTACGTCGGCAACGCGACGACGATGACCGCAACAGCAACCACGACAGAGACAACGACGACAACGGTGGCAACGGCGGCGACAGGTACTGCTGCCATTGACTGCCGCTGATGCTCATGTTGCGTGCTGCAGCAACAACGACAACGACCGGAACAACAACATCGACGACGACAGAAGACGACGACAAGACGACTGACGACGGCTGCGACGACGACGACAAAGACTACGACGATGACTATGACGACGACGACACCGAAGGCGACGACGACTACCACGAGGACCACCACCACCCCCCACCACCACCACCACCACCACCCACCACCCACCA